GGGTGTTGAACAATGAGAACACATGGACACAGGGAGGGGAGCAGTACACACTGGAGTCTGTAAGGAGGAAATGGGGGAGGGATGGGTGGGTGGGAAGGTGGAGAGAGACAGCATGGGGAGAAATGCCAGATGTAGGTGAAGGGGAGGAAGGCAGGAAATCACACTGCCATGTGTGTACCTATGCAACAATCTTGCATGTTCTTCACATGTACCCCAAAACCTAAAATGCAATAAAAAAATTAAAAAAAATTAGAATTTCAGAGCACATGTCATCAGGACCTCTTGAGGGTGTGTCAAGGAAAAAAATAGGTAAAACAAAAGAAAAAAAATTAGACTTTTTTGGATATGTTGAAGATTTGGAAAGATAATGAAAAAGAATGTTTGAAATTAATAATGCCTTGGAAATTTTGATTACTGTGTGAATAAAACATCTGAATCAAGGTTACTGGATAGGTGAAAAAAAATCAGTTAAAAATCTAGAAGAAACTGGAAATCTTATTTAATCTGAAATTATTAGAAAGTATATTCCACAGTTCATTTAGACATAAGAAAATTTCAAAAAAGCTATGCAACCTTATGCAAATATACTCATAACTCTCTATTAAATGTGTGACATGTTCAAGAGTGAGGTACTTTTCTGAAATTGTTATTGTAGGGATCTTAGGGTTAGTACCCAGCTTAGTATTACCAAGCTGTGGGGAAATCTATTCCCATGAGGCGCAGAGATTTGAGCTGGCCATACTACCAGACATGTTATTTGCAGCTCCTTGTTGCCACAACTATCATGATGAAAGAGCCAGTCTTGTGTACCTACATCTGCTCCTGAGATGTCCCCTTCTGATTTTACAGTTTTAATGATTTATAGATGCGATAATACTATCTTTGTGGGTAGCCAAGAAGAGGGTCACAAGTTGGCTCCAGAGTCAAGGAGGACACTGAGAAGGTTCTAACTACCTTTCATTCTGCTATAGTGAGCTTCATGAAGACAGGGTGAGTGTTATTCATCTCTGAGGCCCTGTGCTAAGCCTTACTTATAGTAGATGCTTAATAAATATCTGCTAAATAGCTTATAAGATCCTCAAGGAAGAAACCATTTTCCTCACCTTCCAAGTTTTTCATTTGTACTCATCACTGAATGGCAGCTATTTTCGTGAGTTGACTATCATTGCATAGACAAACAGAATAAGGAAGCAATGTTTTGAAGCAGCAGATAATGTCAGACACATAACTGCAAATGTAAATATGTATCCTAGAGAAGCTGCTACTCACCTACCTTCTTGTGTGACCAGGATGAAGGAGATAGTTGGTCATTATCTCTTCTTTCATGTATCACCTGGGAAACCCATCATTCTTAAAAGAAGCAGTGATATCTTGCAAGTTGACTATTTATTTCCTTGTAAAGGGGTAAAAAAGCAGAATTGGTGATTGTTAATTACATAACCCCCTCAGAGTTAAATCGTTATAGAAGACAGACATAGGGAAGAGGATTAAAAAAGAATATTAGTCTTTGCTAGTTTTTCAGAATTTAATCCTCACAATTGACTAGACAGAGATGGAAGCAAATTAAAATAAACATGGCATAGCAATAACAAAGAACAAATACATATACAAACACAACCTGATCCCAAGAATTTTCTAAAATTCATAAGCAGGTTAAAGGGCTGTCAGGACAGACAACTATCACAAAGAAGAAACAAACTTTTATTTCAAAAAATATTTTTCTTGATTACAAATGTGCATTATGGATCTCACCACCCAGAAAGTTGGCATCTGTTCTCAGACTTTTAAAAATGATTACATATGTATTTATCTATGACAAAGCTGAAATGGTTTTATGCATAATGTTCTTTCTGTAAGGTATTTATCTCCCCTCAAATGTAAACATTTTTTCATGTCCAAAAAATAAAATACCTTCTATAAAGAACTTGAGTGACTAAAAGGCAAATGACTCAAATACTTAAGTACAAAGATCCTAAATTATGCTTTGAGGGTAAAATGAGCCTACATGTAAAGGCAAGATAAATAAAATAAAATAAGAAGCCAAATAAGCCTACTTCCACCACTTGGAAAAAAGCACCATCTTCTGTAGAACTGAAAAACCAGAAAACATTTTTCCTCTGATGGGAAAAACGACCTCTCTTCTGCTTGGGCAATTTTTTTCAGTCTATATTTACCAAGAAATATATTGCTGCAATAGACAATTTGTGTATAGTAAATCATCGATATAGTTTAAGTCAATAAAAGCCAAATTGAGACCATTAAGTAGCCTAATGCTGTGTAACAGTTCAATGCTTGACTTACTTAAATATACATATATCCTTTGGTGAAATTAGCTTCATTCAGCTTTATGTTTTTACACAAAGAATGTTTTTAAGAGGGACAGTAAACCGGAGAGAAGAAACCTGCAGAACTTTGGAGGCTAACTTACATGTGTTATTAGTAATTATATTTTCTAACAATAAAGATATGTTCTGATTAAAAGGCCTTATTTAAGTTTGGCCATGTAAGAGTAACAAATGGACTGGATATTTGAGTGCCCAAAATCTTTTATTGGGGCAAGAACCCAAAACATAGAATTCAAAGACTGAGTATGAATCTTTGTTAATGTGCTAAAAAATCAACGATCAGTCATGATGATATCCTTTTCACCCCTTGTATTAGCCTTCTGTGTTTCACAGGAAGTAAATTATCACAAATGAACCTTCCAAGAATTTCAAAATGTATCATTTATTAGCTAAAGACTTAAAGAACAAGTTCTAAGGCCATAGCCTTCTTTGATGTGATAAAACATCAGAAGAAAGAAAAATTAAAATTTCAGAAAATATAATTCATAGATGCAATCAGAAAAAAATCAAGGAGTTAAAAACCGATAAAAGGGAGGAGATCCAAGATGGTCGTTTAGGAACAGCTCAGGATTGCAGCTCCCAGTGAAAGCGCAGAGGATGAGTGGATGCCACGTTTTTATTGCCCACAGACTAGGAAGTTCCCGGGTGGAGGAGCTCCACGGTCACCAGTGCGGCTGTTTCGGGCCAGCGCGGCTGTGCCGTCCGATGCTGCTGCTTTGCCCCACGCGGCTGCTTTGTCGGCGCCCCAGAGCCGCGGTTCTCCGTACAAAATACACCGGTCCGGGTGCCCTTTTGGCTGGCGATTGGAGCCACGGGAAGTCGCCCAGTCACCGGTTCAAAAAGGGGACTGAGCAGAGAAC